ACAATCCTGGCTGCTCCAAATCAGGCAACACAGAAACTTAAGTCTCCCACCTGCCAGGTGACCACAGAGCTATTGGCTGGTGAAAGAGAAGGCCATCTTTATTAATGGCTGGCAGAGGGGAGGGAGAGTGGGGAACGAGAGTGGGGGAGAGGTAGATACGTTGCAGGGCAGGGACACGGTCCAGTGACCTGGACACATTGGAGGGTTGGGCCACAAGAAATCTGATGAGGTTCCATCAGGACAAGTGTAGAGTCCGGCCCGTGGGACGGAAGAATCCCAAGTATTGTGACAGGCTGGGGACCGGCTGGCTAAGCAGACATTCGGCAGAAAAGGACCTGGGGATACAGTGGCTGAGAAGCTGGAGATGAGTCAACAGCGTATCCTTGTTGCTAAGAAGGCTAAGGGCATGTTGGGCTGAATTAGGAGGAGCGTGGGCAGCAGATCTAGAGAAGTGATTATTCCCCTTTATTCGGCTCTGGAGAGGCCATATCTGGAATATTGTGTCCTATTGTAGGCCCCTGTTATGGAAAGGCTGTGGATGCATTGGAGAGAGTCCAGCGGAGGGCAATAAAAATGATGAGGGGGCTGGCGCACATGAGCTGAGGAGAGGCTGAGGGATTTGGGCTTGTTCAGTCTGCAGAAGAGAAGAGTGAGGGGGGATTTGGGAGCAGCCTTCAACTTCCTGAAGGTGGGGTTCCAAAGAGGACGGAGAGAGGCTGTTCTCAGTGGTGACAGATGGCAGAACAAGGAGCAATGGTCTCAAGTTGTGGTGGGAGAGGTCCAGATTGGAGATTAGGACAAATAAAGAATAGGTGAATAAAGAAAAGTTATTCATTAGTTCCCATAATATAAGGACTAGAGGACACCAAATGAAGTTAATGGGTAGCAGGTTTAAAACTAATAAGCAAAAGTTCTTCTTCACAAAGCACATAGTCAACCTGTGGAACTCCTTGCCAGAGGAGGCTGTGAAGGCTAGAACTATAACAGAGTTTAAAGAGAAGCTAGATAAATTCATGGAGGCTGTGTCCCTGGCCTCTATTTGTCAGAGGCTGGAGATGGATGGCAGGAGACAAATCGCTTGATCATTTTCTTCGGTCCACCCCCTCTGGGGTACCTGGTGCCGGCCACTGTCGGCAGACAGGCTACTGGGCTAGATGGACCTTTGGTCTGACCCAGTATGGCCATGCTTATGTTCTTATGTAATTATATTTTATTTTTCTAATTTCTCCCTGCATTTTATCTGAGAGATTGTTAGATATTTTTCCTTTTGAAGTGTTTGAAGGTGTGGTGCGTTCTGCTCCAAAAGTGGCTGTGTGTCTGTAACCCCCACATGTCTGGGTGTACTTCTCTCACCGCCCCCCTCCTCTCCGCCCAGCAGTGGCACTGAGACTTAGAGACAAATTAGTCTGCTACAGCCTTAACTAAGAGCCTTGTGGCTTTCAGCTCAAACGCTGAGCACAAAAGGTTCCAGGTTTGATCCTGCCTGCCAACGACCAGGGGTCTGTTGGTGTTAGACTTCTTCGGTGCACAGAGAAATGATCCAGGGTACAAGCTGCAGGTGACTTTAAAAATGGCACTTAAAGAGGGAGAGGGATTTGGGCTGAGAGCTATATTAAAAAGAATGCCACACAAATTTAATACTCATGTATTATACTGGACCTGCCCAGTGTGGGGACATGCACCCCTCCAGCCCACATTCTACTTTGGATGCATTTGTGTAATTTGTTAGGGCTATTCTTCATCTCCTTGTATTATCTGAGAGCTATATTAAAAAGAATGCCACACAAATTTAATACTCATGTATTATACTGGACCTGCCCAGTGTGGGGACATGCACCCCTCCAGCCCACATTCTACTTTGGATGCATTTGTGTAATTTGTTAGGGCTATTCTTCATCTCCTTGTATTATCTAAGGCAGTGATCCCCAACCTTTTGGGGCCTCACAGGCGCATGGGGGCAGGGCTGCACACGCGCCCCTCCAGCCCACATTCTACTTTGGATGCATTTGTGTAATTTGTTAGGGCTATTCTTCATCTCCTTGAATTATCTAAGGCTGTGGTCCCCAACCTTTTGGGGCCTCACAGGCGCCCGAGGGCAGGGCTGCACACGCGCCCAGGGGCAGGGCCACCCATACACCATGTGCCCAGTGCTGGTGCCATCCATGCGCTGCATTCCTGGGGCTGGCGCTGCTCCTGTGCCGCGCGCCCAGAAGCGGGGCCACCCATATGCCATACACCTGGGGCTGGCACAGCCCATGCACCGCGCGCCCGGGGGCAGGGCCGCCCATGTGCCTCGGGGGAGGGGACGGCCCTGATCAGTTGGTGGGCGCACAGAAATGGCCCTGTGGGCACCATGGCGCCCGTGGGTACCACGTTGGGAACCACTGATCTAAGGGATAAGTGAATGATTCTAAACCTCATTTCCAATGAGCTTTAAAGAAATCAACTAAATATTGGGTCATAAGGCCACAGTGTCTAAAACGGGTTCTCAGCCTTTGTCTGAGTCCTTCTCCCAAGCTGGTATAAAAATGCCATGACCTGACTGGGCTGCAGCAAATGTTTTTCTGCATATAAAAACCAAGGCCAGCCTCAGAGTGGTTAGCAAGCAGGGCAATACCTGGGGAACCATACCTTCGCCAGCCCTGTTAAGTGACTCAGTCTTTGGCTTCCGACCCGGGGGTCAGGACTCGGAGCCCCAGGCTTCAGCACCATGTGGTGTGACTTCTGCTCTGGGCAGAAATGAGTCTAATACTGATCTTGCATGGTAGGGATGTAAAAAAATGGCTCAAAACAGTAACTCTGTAACTGATCAAGATTCTGTTGGTTACACAGTTACTCAGGAACCTAAGGGTAGGGAGGAACAAGTGCTAGAGGGGTGTCCCCACTTCTGGGGTCCCAGCTCCTGGCCCCACATATGTCGGGATGCCTGCTGGTGGCAGAGGTCAAGGTGGGCAGCCGAAAGCCCTGTCGAAGCAAAAACACGCTCCTCTGTGTTTAGGCAGCTAACAAACAGCTTTATTAATTAATAAAGCACAGCATGAGCCAAAGGTGGTCACAGCAGAGCCGGGCCCAGTATTTATACCCTTAACCAAACAGTCTGACGTCAGGGCATCCAATTACAGAAATCCTCAATTAAATTTGGAAAAACAAAGCCTTATCAACAAGATGGCGGACAGGTGCGAGGGAGTACATCTCCTGTCCCAACCAGCCCAATTAACACATACCAATAGCCCATCCTGTAGGCCTCTTCTCACGGGGTGACAGAAAGTTCACTCTGGTCTACGTGCTTGAGAGAAAAGCTGAAATGGTTTCTGATATACAAGATGGCTTCTAGCTAAATATGAAAATGGTTTCTACAGCTTCTACAGCCCATACGTGCAGGGGTGCTGCCGGCAGCTGGGACTCTAGAGAGTTAAACCATTAACAGAACCTAATAAACTTTACACACCTCCATCCTTACTGCAAGGTGAGCCCCCTGAAACCTGCTTAAGGACCCCAGGGGCCGCTGGACAGCTGATTGAGAACTGTACTAAACTACAGAAGCCAGCAAAGAAGTATTTGACCACTAGAGGGCATCATATCCATGCATCGCCTGATACGCTTTACTTGTACATCCCTAGGGATGTACACCGCTTGTTTATTCCTCGGTGTTACGTCATTTGGAAATTTGACCAGTAACTTTGATGGAAAAAACACATTTTCCTATTCAGTGAAACAGCCTGGAAAAGGAAAAGGGAAAAAAAGCCCTGCCAGTACCTATTTTTTGTCATCACTAGAAGATTGACCCAGTTTTTCTCTGATCCTTAAATCAATTAATTTTGTTTTCATTTCAATCAGTGCTCTGGGGTGGGGCCGGGGAGGAGGGGTTCATGATGCAGGCTGCCGTGGGGGGAGAGGACAACCCCAGCCTTCTCTGCCCGCAGCAGCTTGGGGCCAGGGAGAAATGCCTTTCCATGGATGCAGCACCTCCAGTGGGCACTGCCAGGGGCAGGGTGTATGTCCCTCAGCTGGGGGAGGTCCCAGTTTGTCTGCGCTTTGCTCTTGCTCCCTGACAAAGGAGAACAGCCCGCGATGTCCCTGTCCCGATGGGCGAGAGCAGCTGCCTCAGTTTAAGTTATGATCAGAGGAAGCTGCCTGCCAAATTTGGTCGTCCTAGCTCTTACCAGTTAGTTGGATCCTTGGACGGACAGACAGACAGACAAGCATGCTCAGACAGACAAGCTCAAATACATAGTCGGGAAATATTTGTCCGTGAGTAATGGAAGTGCATTACTATCAGTATGGCCTTCTCGAGAGCAGCTGCCTCAGTTTAAGTTATGATCAGAGGAAGCTGCCTGCCAAATTTGGTCGTCCTAGCTCTTACCAGTTAGTTGGATCCTTGGACGGACAGACAGACAGACAAGCATGCTCAGACAGACAAGCTCAAATACATAGTCGGGAAATATTTGTCCGTGAGTAATGGAAGTGCATTACTATCAGTATGGCCTTCTACATGACACTTAATTTGAACAATTCAGCTAAACACAATGAGGATGGGCATAACTATCTCTGAGGATATGAAAGGTGGTAACAGCAGGATGTTGATGGCAGGGCTAGTCTTGCCCGCAGTGTTTAGAGCGGGATACTGGGTGTCAGAAGACCTGTCTTTTGTTCCTGGCTCTGCTGCTGCCTTGCGGTGTAACTCAGCCCCCCGTAGAGTGAATGGAAAGGCTCCCATTGAAGGAAGTGGGCATTGGATCAAGTCCTTGGGTTGCGATCCTGATTTAAGTCACTTTAATGCCTCCAGAAGACCTGTCTTTTGTTCCTGGCTCTGCTGCTGCCTTGCGGTGTAACTCAGCCCCCCGTAGAGTGAATGGAAAGGCTCCCATTGAAGGAAGTGGGCATTGGATCAAGTCCTTGGGTTGCGATCCTGATTTAAGTCACTTTAATGCCTC